TTTCCCGGATGTCTGCCTCTGTGATGGTAACTGAGTTCCTGTTCTGGAGGTGGCTGTGCTTCCTCTCTCAGGGACACAGCCATTGTGCACTGCGGTTAAGTGCTGCCATCTTCTCCCCATATGTTATCTTCCAGAACTGTTTCAGCTTTCCAGCCTCGGTGGTCTCTCCCCTGTTGCTACCCCCTGTAGTAACCCTGTTGTTACCCTGCCACTGAGCGAACACCATCGGCGGTTGTGTTGCGAACAGCTGATCACCCTCTGGCATCAATCACTTTAGTGTACCACTGTAGGCGGTCAGGCAGGGCTTGGAGCATTTGTTTGCAGTTTCGAGTGCTTCAGGTATGGTAAGATATCTGCTGTACCTTCCTGGGTACTAGTTCTTTTCATGCACCTCTCTGGGCCTCGTTAATTGACTCACTTCTCTCCGAGCCACCTTGATCTCATCTCCAACCGTCTTTTCCGTGTGGGTATTGTCCATGGCTCCCATGGTTGCTCTTATAGCCAAGCGACTCTAGATCACTCGCTGCTGAAGTGTATATCAGCTCATTGGTTTCAGTGATTAGTGTTGGATAGGTATTGGCCCTCACTGCTTCATTCACGTTTTCTCTGAGATCCTGAGGTGGTACATCACACAACCGCCTGTAACGGAGTCCTTTGCCCTAGAGGCCCATTATAGCCATGGATTTTAGCTTTCAGTCAGTCCGCTGCCTCGTTCACGTATAGTGGTTCCATTGGGCTTTGAGCCCAAATATCTGGTAGGGGAGTATGCAGTTGTGGGACCGTCCCCTCTGACCTCAGTAACTGTGGCACCTTTGGCATCAACATGTGTTGTACCTCATCGAGTCTCAGCTGTATAGCAGTTGCCGTTTTAGGATGTTGAAGCATTGAGCTACCCGGTTTGTTTCGGGGTCAACTGTGACTGTGGATTCGAAGTAACCATTCAGCCCACAATCTCTGCAAGTAAACCTCTTTGGCCAGAGGGTTACTCGAGTAGTAGCATTCACAACAGAGCCCTGTTATCAGAATCTCTACCACTTTCACCTTGTCCAGTAGCCCACTTTCATAAGGTGCCTTCAGGTTCCCCACACCTGACCTTGTTTGGCCGGAGATGTTGTCGGCCTTCTGAGCCGGCAACATATATACGCACTGTGTCGGTTCTATATCATTTTAAAATGTATATTTCAAATCTGCTTGAACAGAACTGTAAGAGAAAGCAAAAGGGTGTAGGACAGAGGAAAGGGCAGGTTTATTTCTATAGCACAATTCATACACAAGGCAACTCAAAGTGCTGAACAAGGCACAATAAACACAGAAAGGATTTAAATCCCCCCAGTTATTCACAGCTAAACTGAACTGATCTAACCAGGATTGTGAACATTTCAGACATAAAGCTTCTCCAATTTCAGAAGACTCTTCCAATTATAAGCTGCATAAATCTAAATTGCTGCCTCCCCATGTATTTAGTCCTGACTCAGGGACTAGCAAGAGTCCCAGTCCCAGTGCTCCTCAGATGTCACCAGCAGGAGACCAGTCCTGTGCTTCATCGATTCCCAGCAGATGCCAGCATCTCCAGTTGCTCCTCAGAGTCCCAGCAGGAGTCCAGTCCGTGCTCATCAGAGTTTCCCAGCATGAGGCCAGTCCCTGTGCTCCTCAGAGTCCCACAGAGTCCAGTCCCAGATGCTCCTCATAGTCCCCCAGCATCGAGCCAGTCCCTGTCTCCTCAAAGTCCCAGCAGGAGTCCCAGTCCCTGTGCTCCTCAAGTCCCAGCACGAGGCACAGACCCAGTGATCCTCAGAGTCCCAGCAGGGAGGCCAGTCCTTGTGCTCCTCAGAGCAGGAGGCCATCCCCGTGCTCCTCAGAGTCCCAGCAGAGGCCAGTCCCCTTGCTCCTCAGAGTCCCACAGGAGACAGTCCCTGTGCTCCTCAGAGTCCCAGCACAGCCAGCCCTGAGCTCCTAGAGTCCAGAGAGGCCATCCTTGTCTCCTCAAGCAGGAGGCCAGTCCCTTGTGCACCTCAGAAGTCTGATTAAGAACAAACGAGTGGGGCAAAAAAGTCACCACGCGACTGTGCAAGTTCTCCCACTTAAACTAAAGACAGAGTCTGTAATGTTCATCATAGGATCACTTCAACTGTGAGAGACAGAATGTGAAAAGAAAATCCAGGAATTCACATCTGTAGATTTTTAAAGAATTTCTTTGTAAATGAATGTTGGAAAATAAGTATATTGGTCAATAAACAAAAATTCAACTCAATACTTTGATAATATAACCTTTGTTGGGCAAAAACAGAGGTCAAAACGATTACTATAGTCTTACCAGGTTTGCACACAGTAGCTGGTATTTTGGCCCATATCCTCCATGCAGATCTTCTCGAGGAGCAGTGCACACGGACTTTACAACTCCCTACAACAGATTTTCAATGGGGTTTGAGGTCTGGAAGACTGGCTCCAGACTTTCAAATGCTTCTACGGAGCCACTACCTTTCGTTCCCCGGGGCGGTGG